GAGAGTTATTTTCACATGAATGTTTCCAGGAACACAAAAACAGACTGAACTTATTTCCAGCAAACACGGTGGAACAAACTCCTAAAAACACAGCTGATCACGTGATAAAAAGGTGTTTTTTCCCCCCCCTCGGATTGTTCTGAAAGTGGTGAAAAAGGCCATCGGACATTTTCACAGTTTCTGCTCGCAGATGCACCTCGCAGCAGGGTTCTCCAAGCCGGCGTTCTCGCCACTACAAATAGGCTGGAGTGTTACTACAGGATGCAGAACTTTAGGCGAATGCTAAACAAGAGAACATGAGATTCTCTAGAAAATGGATTTTTCTGCACCAACAAACGAGTGACTGTGGGGACATCCACTGCCCTCCAGAAAACACGTGGACTACAGATGTTAAAATGTAACCAGGTGCAGCCTGAACGCTCAGCTAGGCTCAAAATCAGGATGTTTCCGTAACTTGGATAACAAGAGTAGACGGAGTTGTTTGATTCGTTTGTGGGATTTTATTCATTTTAGTGCCACGTTAAATTTAAACTTTTAATATTAAGTCTAACCCTTTACTAATTGGGCATAAAGGGCCCGGTCAGTTGCTCCGCCCCTACGTTCAGCTCCGATTTGCTCCGCTAGTGGTTGAAGAGATCGGGTTTAGTGGCCTGAGGATCAGGTCTCTGCTTTTTGCAGATGATGTGGTCCTGTTGGCTTCATCAGAACGTGATCTCCAGCTCTCGCTGGAGCGGTTCGCAGCTGGGATGAGAATCAGCTCCTCTAAATCCGAGACCGTGGTGTTGATTCGGAAAAGGGTAGAATTCCTTCTTCGGGTCAGGGATGAGGTTCTGTGGAGGAGTTTAAGTATCTCAGGGTCTTGTTCATGAGTGAGGGAAAGCTGAAGTGTGAGATCGATAGGCGGATTGGTGCTGCGTCTGCAGTGATGCGGGCGTTGTACCGGTCTGTCGTGGTGGAGAGAGATCTGAATCAGAAGGCGAAGCTCTCGATTTACCGGTCGATCTACGTTCCTACCCTCACCTATGGTCATGAGCTTTGAGTAGTGACTGAAAGAACGAGACCGCGGATACAAGCGGCTGTGCAGGGTGGCTGTGCTCTCCCTTAGCGATAGGGTGAGAAGCTTGGTCATCTGGGAGGGGCTCGGAGTAGATCCGCTGCTCCTCCATGTCGAGAGAATTCAGTTGAGGTGGCTCGGGCATCTGGTCAGGATGCCTCCTGGACGCCTCCCTGGTGAGGTTTTCAGGCACGCCCAACCGGAAGGAGACCTAAAGGAAGACCCAGGACACGCTGGAGGGTCTATGTCTCTCGGCTGGCCAGGGAACGCCTTGGGTTTCCTCTGGAAGAGCTGGTATAAGTGGCTGGAGAGAGGGAAGTCTGGGCCTTACGCACACTGGAAGCAGAAGCGGTGTGGAACGGCAGCCGAGCGGTTTACTCGTGACAATCACTACACTGAAGTGCGCAGTACAACAGTGATTTTAACCCTCTGGAGGCAGGCGTTGCAGATTTGCAACGTTAAAATCTACCTACCTGGTTACTCCACAGACGTGTTTCATGAGCATTTTTTTTAATCTCAGAAGTTCCCCTGAAGGACTTAGTTGTTCGTCCTTCCATCAAACTTATTTTGAGCCTGAGAGGGTTAAAGCAGCATCAACAAACCTTGTTTTTTTGTTTGCATTCTGCTTCACCTGCAACACTTTCACTTTTTCTAATGACGGTTGTTTGGTGATTCTTGCTGATATTTCCTTCTGAATTACAGCCAATCAGGATGATTTAATCACAAATCCCAGCCCCTCCCACTTTTGCAAAATATTCCCTCATCAATTCCAGTCGGCGCAAATGACGTCACCACGCACGTTGCGTAGCTTACGCATTTACTCAGCAGGAAGCATGGCACCTAAGTGGCACAAATGATCAAAAGTTTTGTTATAATTTACAAGAAAGGATGACAACAGGGCAGCGTAACTCATTCACTGCCAATGACGTGTTTTTACTGTGTGGGCGTCGGACGAGCCCCCGCACCGAAAGAACAAACATCTCAGCAGTAAAGCTGGTCTTCATCCGCATACGTCACACGTCACGTGATCAGGAAGCAGAAAATCCACGTGTTAGGAGATCGTTTTGGGCCGCTGCTGTAAAAAAAGTGAGGCGCGAACCGGAAAAGCGTCTGCCGATCACAATTCGACAACGGATTATGAAAGATCAGATAACGTTCGAAACGCGCAGATTCTTCCTGATGTAAGAGGTGAGTCTCCTCTTTGTTTTGGTTGTTTTGGCATTGACATCATCCTAGTGTGCAACGTTCTGTGACTCTTACAAAAAAACAGTAAAAACGGCGAAAAACGCTGGCAGCGAAGGGCTTTACCGATCAGGAAAGGGCTGGCAGTGAATAAGTTAAAATACACTTCGTGTGATAATACGTCCAGGACTACAAACGTGCATCACCAGTGATGTCATCAAACCAGACACGTAGAAAAAGAAATATAAAACTGGCCACGTGGTGAGTAGCAGCTACGCTGGGGGGAGGAGATTCTGTGGTGACGTCATTTGTAATGTCTGATTTGTAGTCATGCTAATTACGAACTTTTACAAGCTGATAAATCTCAAAGTATGTGACTGGCGTGGTCGAGGCACCCATCATTAGTTTACATTTAAATAGAATTATAACATGTGTGTGAGTGGCGCAGTGGTTAGAGCTGTTGCCTTGCAGTAAGAAGGTCCTGGGTTCGCTTCCCGGCCTGGGATCTTTCTGCATGGAGCTTGCATGTTCTCCCTGTGCATGTGTGGGTTTTCTCCGGGTACTCCAGCTTCCTCCCACAGTCCAAAAACACGACTGTTAGGTTGATTGGTCTGTCTAAATTGTCCTTAGATGAGTGTGTGCATGATTGTTTGTCCTGTGTGTCTCTGTGTTGCTCTGTGATGGACTGGCTCTCTGTCCAGGGTGCCCCCCCCCCCCCCCCCCCCCCCCCCCGATTGCCCGTTGACCGCTGGAGATGGGCACCAGCCCCCCGCGACCCTAAATGGACAAAGCCGGTTCAGACAATGGATGGATGGATGACGTGTGTGATTCGGGGCATTAGGCAAAGCTCCTTCAGCCCCGTTCGGGGACTCGTGTGCCACCTCCTGAACTACTCAATAATTGATAAGGGATTGGACTGATTGACAAAATCAACAATGGCACTGATGTAGACAATTCCCACCCCTATTTTACTTAGTTTGCTTTTCATCAGCAAATCTAATTTTCCAGGGGTTTAGGTTATTTTTATTCCTCCAAGACAACTTGCAGGGTTCAGAAACAAATCAGATTTGAGGGCAAAGCCGGCGCGCACAAATGAGGCTAATTTTAACGTCAAGAACAAATGTTTTAACCTTTAAATTTACAAATCAAGACAAAAAATTAAATAAGTGCAACAAAAATGTTTCATGTAATAATGATGTTGTTATAATTTTATTAGGGCTGTCAGTCGATTAAAAAAATTAATTAATTGCACAATTTTCTGTAATTAATTGTGATTAATCGCAATTTATCTGATCATTTGCCTGGCTGCTCTTACACTTTTTTTTCCAACTTTATATTTCTTAATGAAAAAAATAAGTTGTCACACACTCCATGGAAACTTTCAGACAATCCACAAATAGTGGCTTTCAAATGGTTTTGTTACTTTTTACAAGTTTAGAAAAGAAGATGAGACAGCATGTCTGATAATTTAGTTTTTCAGCTGATAATATTAGAACATATCGGTAATGTCTGAGGGGCTTTTATTATCACTGTATAACTAATACTCCTGGAGAGGGTTTGGATTACACAGAGGCTTCTGGGGAGCCCAGTTATAGGGATGGGGGGTGTTCCGTTTTGCCTTGGCCCCCAAAATGTCTTGAAACAGCCCTGGGTGTGTGACTGAGTTTTGAAGGTGATCTGAATTGTATCAGATGTATAAATATTACATGTGTGTAGCTTATTGTTTTATACGGGTAAAAACGTGTAGTGGAGATAAATCTACCTACATTTGACTTTTCAACACTTTGTTTTGTTTTCTTGTTTTTATTTAACTATTTTCCTGTCCTGTCTGTCTCTCATCTTCCTGCGTCTCCTCTAAACTCTCCAGAAAAACTGCTGCCTGGATTCTTACTTTTTCACCTCATCAGTTACTTTTGAGCAGATCAAAGCGGATCTCCTGACCGCAAAGCGGAGAGCGCGTTTCGATGCTGCCTCAGTGAGGTGAAATCACCGCCGCACAGGTGATGAGCTCCGCAGTAGCAGAGCGCTTCAGGCGCAAATAAGACAGAAAGTAGAGAACATGTGCGGACATGAACGATCGTGGGTTAATTATAGTTTTTTGGTTGCGCCACTTTGAGAATGGACCGAGCGCTGGACGCAGCTGCCTGGAGCGCACCAACGATGTGACCTGAGAGTGACAATAATCTCTCACAAGGCACTGTGGTTGCAGGTGTTGACAGGTACTTGCACGCAACAGGTGCCAGTCTGGACTGTACTTCTTCTCTCTTCAACCACCACTGTAATGGACAGTGTCCAATATCCATTTTGGGCTCTGCTTTGTACCGATCTAGACAGCGCTCCATGGACAGCATTGTCCATGCTAGCAAGCTTTTCCTCTCCTTCTCTTTCTCTGCTTCTGCTGCTTCTAATCATTTCCAGCAGGTCAGACACCAGCATGCCCCCTCCTTCAGAGCCGCTCACGAGTTTGAGGTATCAGACTACGTAAAATTTTAAAAACTGCATTAATGACGTTAACTTTGTTAAATTCAGTAAACATTTCACATTAATTAGCTAAATTAACGTGTTATTTTTCACAGCACTACATTTAATTCAAACGAGTCTTTTGTTTAGTCAGGTTTTGGGAAGGACATTCATAACACGCTTTAACAACATTTAGGTGCTAAAATGAGCTCCACATATAGGAAACAGAACATATTGATTATACGGTATAAATGTAGCCGTGTTGATCACAGCAGGAGGCTAAAGATTATATTTTAAGACGTACTTTGTGCAGTCGTTGAAGAGCTCCTTACAGGGACTCTGCTCCAACCCCTCCCGACACCGAGCGACAACATCTTGGGAAATGTCGGGCAGATGAGCTGCTGACTAAAGGATAAATAATGCAACATGTGAGGAAAGCAGAAGAATGATGTACAACACACACACACACGCACGCGCGCGCACACACACACACACGCATGCACAAACACACACACTCACTCACACACACACACACACACACGCATGCACACACAGACACACACACACACACAGACGCGCGCACACACGCACGCCCGCACGCACACACACACACGCACGCATGCACAAACACACACACTCACTCACTCACTCACACACACACACACACACACACACACACACACACACACACACACACACACGCATGCACACACAGACACACACACACGCACGCACGCACAGACGTGCACACACACACACACACACGCAAACACACATGCACACACACACACACACGCACACACAGACACACACAGAAATGCACGCATGCACGTGCACACACACACACACACACACATACGCACAGACACACTCACCCACACAAACACACACACACACACACACACAGAGACCCACACACACAGACACTCTCTCTCTCTCTCTCTCTCTCTCACACACACACGCGCGCACACACACACGCATGCACGCACACACACTCTCACTCATGCATGCACACGCATGCACACATGCACGCACATGCACACCTGCGCACACGTACACACACACACACATGCATGCACATGCATACCCGCTCACACGCACACACACGTACACTAACACACACACTGGTGTAAAAAACCTGTAAAAATCATTTTGGTTTGAGGATTGGGTTTAGAAATGTGTTTTCTGGTCTATCGGTCATTATTTAATAAAAAATCTAAATGCAAACGACACACATAAAAAAAACTAGTTAGATAATCTAAATAATGAACAGCACCCATAACTGAAAATCTATATTTAATCTCTAGGACCACCTTCCTGCTGCATGTCCCGGTTTGGTCCAAGCTGCAGTCAGGACGAGCAGTTTGTGCAGATATGCTGTTTTATTTTACTGTCCTAATTCCTGCAGCTGCAGTGGGGGTAATTCTTGAGCGGTGCATCATTTATTCATGCAAAATAAAAACTCAGCAAGTCACTTTAATAAAACTTAAATAAATCCTGAAACAGAAGATCACCTTGAGTTTAGAAAAATTAGTTTCTAACAAGTTACTTCTGAATTTAAAGAGACTCAAAATCATGAAGTACACTAAAAAACAGCATTTTATCGTTTTTTCTTCAGAAACAACATTGTTAGGTAATAATACTGATTTTTCTGTTTCTCCACATCTTCCAGAGCGAGGCCTTGTCTGACCTGCCACTGGCTGCTCATCAGGAACAGATCTGATCTCATTTTGGAGCAGCATCATTAGCATTATTAACACCTTTCTAATAGAATCCAGTCAAAATATTTATTCAGGTAGTTGAAATCAGCTGAAAAACATATAAATGTGTGTGTAAAAACAGCAAAAAGATAAATAAATAACAGAACTGAACGTTTAGGTGGAGAGATAATTCCATTAATGTATTAAAAAGAGCATCTGGGTGCGTAATTTCTTGGTTGTAGCGTGATTTTTTAAACAAATGAAATAATACAGTTCCATTAAAAAGCTTGTTGCATTCTCTGGATATAAATCTAAAAACTGGTCACTCGTGTACTTATTACATGTATAAGGGAATGTTTAAGTGCCTTACCCCGTTATTAAAGTATGTGTCTAAAACATTCAGTCCACAGTCCCTCCTCTTTTCATCTGGAGCTAGCTGGTACATGGCCTGGAAGACAGAAATGTGAATAATGTGGCAAATCACAGCAGCTTATGGTCATTTTTAGCATGATGGCAAAGATGTTAGGAGAGAGGAACAGGACCACAACACACAACTCACAGCAAGCCAGGGGCGGCCGCACTAGAAGCTGTTTTAAAGAGGTCCTCCACTCTTATTTAATGCATCTGCAGCAGTCTCTAGTACGAATTAATGCCTCGTAAATCGTATTCTGGGGAAAAAAAAGCTCCAGTGCACAAGTTTCAGCTTCGAAAATTCAGTCGGAGGAAAAAGTAGCTTCAGACGGCAGCATTTAGAGTTTTACTTCCTGATATGTGGACATCTCTCCTCTGATTGGTTAACAGCAACATGGCTCTACCGTTGACTGTTTGCTCTCCACAAAGAACACAAGCCTGGAGGAGTTCTGCTGTGTGGTGGAGTTGCTAATGCTAACGGCTAGCTTCTACTAGCTAAGATGTTCTCTGCTGTTTCCTGGATGCTAAACCAACAACAGCCTTCCCCGTCGTAAGTAAAGACGGGCGAGACCATGAATGTTAGTGACGGCGTGACGTAGATCTGTCAGGATTTTCTAATCCTAGAGTTTCACCGTCTGTTTTCTACCAGAAGCTACTGCAGGGGACAGGTGTAGGAGACTATTCTCATGTTCAGCCTGCATGAAAAACCCAGAGTGATGATTTTCAAAAATGACAAGTAGAAATGGTTTCTCGGTGAAGGACCTGTTCAAGCAGACGAAGTTTTTACATCCTCCAGAGTTTGCATGCAAGCGGTTGTTTGTAAGGCATGAAAAACACAAATGTGGGCTCTCAAACAGGTATGATCTGGCCCCCGTTTTCCTTTCTCACATACCACCAGGGGCTTAGGCACAAGCTCAGGTCTGTGTTTGCCTGCTCCCCCAGGGGACCTGCCTCTGAAGTGGGCTTGACCTCATGGAGGAGAGCATAGAGGAAGAGGAGGGGTCAGCTTTCTGACAGCCTGTCTAATCACCCCCATACGCCCACCCCACCCAACACCCGTGCTGCTGCCAAGAGCGCGCGGATTTTCCTCTCCTAGTTCTTGCTCTGCAGGCCCTGATTCAGGCCGGCCTCGTGGGAGAGACCACTGGCAGATGGAGAGTGAGTAAAGCAGAAAGACGGCCCGAGACAGAGGAATCTTACCACAGCATCCATGAACTCGATGCAGCGCTTCAGCTCCGGCCTCGTGTCACAGTACTGACGGAACAGCAGCCGACCAATCGGCTGCTTCTCACATAGACTGGTGAAGTCTCTCTCTGGGAGGAAGACAAGGAGGAAACAAAAGTGAACAACTGGAGGACCCATGTCTCTGAAGGGTCATAAGTGTTTTACGCTTCCGCCGAAGGAAGTCACGGTCAGTTTAAAGAGATGAACCAATTCAGGCTCTGAGGACCAATAACGTGGTGATTTCATTTAGAAAAGCTCAAATTAACAAAATAATCAAAGAAAAATCAGATTAGCTTGAAAATTTTTCTCCAATCAGAGTTAAACGATGGCAAGTTCCCAAATTTGTGGTTTTTTTTTTCTTACTCATCAGACTGGCCGATTCCACCAACCAGGGTCGATTCCAATCAAAAGTCAGTTTTGTTTCACAATTCTTTGATCTCTTCTACTTTTCATAAAACACTTTTTTTTGTTGGTAGGTAAAAAATATTTAAAGGCCCCATTTCATGCAGAATCTACTTGCTGGAACTGTTGACCATGTTTTATTATTTCCCCAAAGCGATTTTTAGCTTCACACACGCATTTCCCTGCCTAAAGCCTGATTCATGCTTCTCCGTCAGCTCCGCAAGGGACAGACACGCACGGGTTGACGGAAGCGTTTTGCTCCCATACTTCTCCGTCTCCTGGAGAGCGTTGCAAAGCAATTCCCCGGCCGGACAACAGAGGGCGTAGCGCTGTTCTGTGGTATCCTGTCATGTATCGGTCCAAGATAGTGTGTTTATATTGTGTTTTTGTATATAAGAGACTTTTTAACACAGACAAATTTGTCTCGCATCCTCCTCCACCTCTTCATGCGCTCGCCACCTCTAAACCCACGTTTCCTGTCATTTCCGTCCACCAATAAAACGCTTGCTGCGCAATTTTTCACTCCTCCAGTCACGGGGGAATTAAACGTTCATGGTTTTAGAGTTTTTTCGCGAGGTGTTCTTCAAGCTGCTCCGTGTCTGCCGCTAGTTATCCTCGGCTCTCTATGTTTTTGAGGGCGCAATGGCGGTGGTGTAGACGACAGCGGCGTCCTGACCAATCACAAGCTTGCGTTGTCCGTCTCGACTGACGGATGTTTAGAAAAGAGAGCTCGACTCCGTCCGTCCTTGCGGAGCTCTCCGGCAGGTCCACAAGGACGTTGCGTGTCTCCGCACTGACGCAGACGGATGAATCAGGCTTTAGCTGCAACTTTCCTTCAGCTCTGCTAAGCCATTGCAACAGCCTGGACGGGTCATGCGTGTGTCATCACCCCCGCTCTTCCCCATCCAGGTAGTGGTGAATCCGGACCTCTCCTCCCCTGGACTGTAAACACTAAAACCCAGTGTCTCTGTGTAGCGAGCAAGAAGTTAAATCTCCGAGGTTGTTAAGAAGTCATGTGTGTCTTTTTTATTCTGCACTTTAAACAATGTCTAAAACCCAAAAATGGAGTTTTGTCATCAACAGAATTGGAAATCACCCCGTGTGACTTGTCGGCCACAGGGAAATGATCGACCACCGGGACTAATCTCCGCTTTTCCTAACCGAGTGCATTCAAAGTGTTGCAACAGCAAGGAAGAGAGCATTTCCTGAGAACTGAACAAATCTCCACTTCCACATTATAACTTGTGGGTAATTTCACCAAACCAGTGACTTTCCCCCTTCCCAAAAATTCCCCGGAACTCCTGTAGTGGAAACATGAATTTTGAGGGTCAACATAGAGTCAGATTTATTTTAGAATACGGACGAATTCTCTGAATGAATCTCATTCATGTAACTTGATTATATAGCCCCATAAAACCCCTCCAGAGAGCAGGGTGAACAAATTAAAAGGACAGTAAATTTGCATTTGCTGAACACAAAACAGACGGTATCCACGTTTTTTGTTGGCGAGTTTTTCCTGTGCAGCTGCTTCCACCTTATTAGCACTAATGCTCTCCATCTGATTCACATTTCCTCTCTGACCATATAAGGAAGAAGAGCCAGGACACATTTCATCACTCTATGGGCAGACAAACACGCAAACAAACAAACACACACACACCCAAGCTCCTCACACACTGCCCCCTCAGATATTTAAACCCTGCTTTGGTCAGCAAACAGGACTGATGTGATACTGAGAGAGATTTGTGATATTTCCTGTTTTAATTATGGCTGCAGAATTAAAAACCAGCAAAAGTTCTTCTCAGATTTTTAATTACATGCATTTAAGAGTTTTGAAGGTGCTCAACATTTATAAAACCATTGAATGAATTAAGTTTTACAGTTCCAAGTCTCGTTTGTGCCAACATTTTTGACATTTCAAAGGAGAAACTTTTTAAAAGCCCATATTCCACGTAAAAAGTCCTCTAGCAGGTCCACCAATGTGGGTTTTCCTACTGCCGACATGTAGAGGTCATTCATTGTCAGCCGTTGCTTTTGGCTGCTTTTCATGGCCTAGACCTTACTAACAGTAGAGTCACAACATTTCTGAACCTGAACAGGTTTTTGAACAATGAATTTAACAAACTGTTGATGATTCATTTTATCCAATTCTTAGTATTAAAATCAAATATTTAATTAAAGTTCATCAACCAAATCAATAAACTGACCAAGTACTAAATAGATAAAACGGGTAAACAAGTAAAAATTAATGTGATCTGACAAAAATATTGTAGAGCATTTACTGAACAAATATTTTTCAGGAATGTAAATGCTAGGGATGTTAGAAAATACCAATACTAAGAAATAACGCAATATTTTATGCTAAGACATGTAATCTATATTTAGAACCAGCGTATCTCTTTTTTATTGAGAATTTACAAGCAAATATTTATCATACTTTTGTGTACTGCAATTCAAACTTTGACTGCTAGGTGGCAGCAGTTTTCACACTTTTCTTTCGGACTGAACAAGATCTCTTAAGAACACTGGATGTGCTATGGAAGTGTTTGGCCTGAAGTTTCTAATTAACTGAAGTAGGGCTGGGCAATAAATCGAAAATTTATCGTTACAGAAATTTCTGACTTTTATCGAGATAATTTTTCTGTTGTCAATAAATTTGACAATAAAAAAATTAAATGATGTGTGTAGGTTGGCAAAGTTCATGGCCCTTTAAGAAGCTGTACCACCTTGCGTGTCACGTAAAAAAGTGACCCAACATAAAACATGTGACAGCCCCATCTAGTGGACAACTTTTGTTTCTGCACATACCTGTAGTTATCGTCCATTTATTGTTATCGAGGTGAAATCCTCAATATATCTTGATTTTGATTTTAGGCCATAGCGCCCAGCCCTAAACTGAAGTCTTAAAAATGTGCAAATAACATCTGACACTTAGTATTGTGATATACACATCGTATCGTCTCCACTGTATCATGATATATACATCGTATCATCTCCCTTGTATTGTGATATATACAATACAGTATCGTCTCCCCTAGTTTGTGATATATACATCATATTGTCTCCTTGTATATTGATATATGGGCTGCATGGTGGCGCAGTGGTTAGCACTATTGCCTCACAGCACGAAGGTCGCAGGTTCGAAACTCGGCTGTGGCCTTTAAAGTTAAAGTTAAATTACCATTAGTTATCACACACACACACAGGTGAGTGTGTGAAATTTATTCTCCGCATTTGGCCCATCCCCTGGGGGAGCGGTGAGCTGCAGACAAGCCGCGCTTGGGAACTATTTGGTGGTTTAACCCCCCCCAATCCAACCCCTTAAGGCTGAGTGTCAAGCAGGGAGGCATTGGGTCCCATTTTTTCAAAGTCTTTGGTATGACCCGACCAGGAATCGAACCCCTAATCTCCCAGTCTCAGGGCGGACACTCAACCACTAGGCCACTGAGAAAGGTAAAACTTTCTGCGTGGAGTTGCGTGTTCTCCCCATGCATGCGTGGGTTTCCTCCGGGTACTCCGGTTTCCCCCACAGTTCACAACATGCCCTATAGGTTATAAATTGTAAGTCGCTTTGGATAAAAGCGTCTGCTAAGTGAATAAACAAACATAAACATATATACATCGTATCATCTCCCCTAGTTTGTGATATATACATCGTATCATCTCCCCTAGTTTGTGATATATACATCGTATCGTCTCCCTTGTATTGTGAACAAGAAGAAGAAACTATCTTTTCTACTGCACCTCACAAGATAAAAATCTTGAGGTGCTTCACAAAAACAAAAAATTTATGACATAAAAAAGAATTTAGAATGAGGGATGGACAATATATCGGCATCAATATCGATATCGGTCCGATAAAAAATAAAACAGGCCAATATTAACCACCGATATTTTTTTCATCTTGTCTCCTTTTGTTTATCTGTTTCAGAGGGTGAGGGGGGTGATGTGTAGTTGTTTAGTCATGTGATAGTGATTGTAATCATCTCAAATGCATACATGTGTGTGTTGTGTGTACATAATAACGTAAATTCAGCTTTAATAATTTTTATTTTATACAAAATCTGCTGATTTTAGAAGCATTAATGTCAGTATATCGGTATCAGCAAATATCAGTTATCGGCCATAACAGTGACCTTAATATCAGATATCGGTGCATCACTATTAAAAATATGTTTAAAATAAGCAAAAATAGACAATTGTGATTAAAAAATGTAAAGAAAGAGAGAGAGTGTGAATAGGAAAGATGAAAAGAGGGAAATCAGTGGATCCTGAGGAAGGTGGAATAGGTAGGGAGAGCAGAATAAGTGATACATACATCGCATCGCCTCCCCTGTATTGTGATACTAGCCTTCTTTTAGTCGTTCATATCTTGTCTTTTAACTAAATGCTTTAATCCATTTTGTTTTATCTTAGTCACTGCATGGCTGCTGTTGTTTTACGTTTATATCTTTGCTGTGTGTGCAGCGCTTTGGTTCAATCTCTCCTTGACGGAAAGCACTTTATAAATAAAGATGATGATGATGATACATATTGTATCATCTCCCCTGTATTGCGATACAAATTTTAAACACCACATGTAAATAAAATTCAGCATCAGCACTGGGCTGCCCAAGGATGTGCCTTTTTAAATTGGCTCTACTAAAGAGGTACATTGGCCGACGCTTTTATTTAAAATTTGGTATATCTTAGGGATGTAAGAAAATATCGATATGGCAATATATCGTGATATTTTTCCAGCAATATTATATCGATATTCAAATGATGTGTATCGGAAATATCGATATGGCAAAATATCGTGATTTTTTCCCTGCAATTATTACATCGATATTCAAAAGCCGTGTATCTAATACTGGAAAGAATTTACATGCAAACATTTGTGTATTTTCTTTTCGTTTTGTGCAATTCAATCGCCACCCGCTAGTTGGCAGCAGTGTGCAGCGGGTTTTGTTTCCACCATTGAAATGTAAATCCCTCCATCATGGTTCAGATACCTCATGTTAAACATGTTACGTATCAGTTTGGACTGTTTATTGAACATTCTTACAATAAATTCAGTAAAAAAAAATTGCTTGTAACGTCTGACTGAATGTATCGCAATATATCGTGATATGTATCGTATCGCCAGAATTTCAAAAATACACATCCCTGGTATATCTCAATCTGATATATCGGTCTCTCTCTAGTCTTGAGCAAAATATGGGAAAGAAAACGTGCAAGACAGCAAGGTGTTCGAGAACAGAGCAGATCATCTCAAATCAAGCAGGCACAGGCATGAGCTGTAGCGAATGTCTGTACCAGTACAGTAAATTACAACTTAATTAAAACCCAACTTAGGCCAAGACTGAGTGGATTAGTCTGACAGCGAACGGCCGGCTGAATGTAAACGAATAAACGAGAGCGCTTCTGTGTTTGTCTTCAGCCACGTCTGGCTGCTGCCTACAGTAGGGAGAGTGTTGGGACGTGATGAGCAGGTGCACGCGTGATGTAGGAATCACGCTGAGGGGAAAATGAAGGAAGGATGGAAGGCGACGAGGAGGGAATGAGGTCTAAGGCTGGCAGACAAAGTGGCTGCAGCCCACATAATGTAATCTGGGCTTCCAAGAACTATCGCACACTTGTCAAGGCTGAGGTCAAATGCCTGACATTATCAAGACACAACAAAGACACGGCTATCAGTTGGTGTACTGCATCCTTCTGCACACGTGTGTGTGCAACAGCGAGCGTGCACGCAGCTACACGTCTGCTACGCGTTTGATTACACAAGTAGGATTATTTTGATCTCGCACTCTGCATGATAGGGAAATGACACAATAGCAGCTATGCAATGTTGACGTATGTAAACACCAACAGCTGGTGCGCACATACGCACACCAGCCATCACCTTTAGAGTGTTTATGTGGGGGGGACTTCTGTGCAGTAAATTAAAAGTAATATTTTAGAAACAAGATCCTTCTTGGAGGTGGCCTTCCATCGATACGAGGACAGATCGATTCACTTTTGGGATAATTAGACTCGTGGGTGATGATTCGGGCGTTTAGTGGTGATGACAAAGGAGATAATCGGTGCCGGGTAAACGATATCACCAAAGGGAGTTCGTACATCAATACCCCTCTCACTCGGCCTTCATCTTATCCTATCCTGTCCTTAAAAGATCTCTTCTCCTAAACTCTCCTCTTCTGCTTCCTCCTGAGGTGGCTGAAAAGGTGACGGAAAGGGAGATACGGATAGTGGAAAGAGGGACGCACGTGGGGGAGGGCAGCACTGCAATCTCTGGCAGCGATAGCTGTGACGCACTTTTACCCACACTTGTGCTGTGTGGCATTCAGGGAACCACAGAGAGCCCAGGAGCTGGGAGGATCCTGGACAGGAGCCGATATGATGAGCGAACGGACTTTGATGTTGAGAAGCAACCGTGTGAACCGTTTCCCCACCTCAGACACACACACACACACACACACACACACACACACACACACACACACACACACACACACACACACACACACACACACACACACACACACACACACACACACACGAGTTTCCTGCCTCCTACCACTAACTGTGGGTGGAGACGGACAGAAACAGGAAGGAAGTCATATCTGAACTTCCCCCCGCAGACAGACCCACCCCAGCGTCACTGCATGGCAAATTATCTTTCTGCCTCTCTCACACACACACACACACACACACACACACACACACACACACACACACACACACACACACACACACACACACACACACACACAGTCCGTACCGATGGTGCTGCGTAGCTCTTCGCACTGGCTGATGTGCGGGAGTTTTAGCATCTCCTTCCATTTCTTGCTGCGCCCGTTCCTCTTTCCTCCTCCACCTGCAAGATGCGAGAAAAGATTTAAGGCAGATCATCAATCAGGTCACGGCTGTTAGTTTTAGCTTTTTAACAGAAATCACCGTTATCGGCTCAGTACCAAAATCACACTCAGTTGTGTGTGTGTGTGTGTTTGTGTGTTCACTCATTCATGTGTGCTGACCTCAGTGTGACCAGAGTAGCTGGTTAGTGTCACCAGTCACACCCTAGCAGAACGACAGAATTTGATGAAGAACGCTGACAGACAGCTTCAAAGATCAGCAGAGCTCAGTAAAACATTAGCCAAGCAAAACTATTAACTCGCACACACACACGCACACACACACACACACACACACACGCTGCGTAGTCCTCTCAGTGAATCAGTCAACCCAGATGTTCGGGGTGAATAACTTCTATACACAAAAGAACTCTTCAAATGACCTGAGCGGCCTCCTGAAGCAGAAGTGTGTGTGTGTGTGTGTGTGTGTGTGTGTGTGTGTGTTCAAGTCTGTAGGGAACTTGGCTGCCTTAAAGGGATTTTTCTTTCAGAGTAAGTCATAAATATTTTATATTTTACTCGTTGGAAACAGCTTTCTGAGCAGCCTCAGTTCAGAGAAATAGTTAATGTGTTTACACGAGGATGTAAGTTTATCTACAGCAATAAACAGGAAGCCTTTATCCTGGTTTACATGCACGTTAGGAAACCGAACTATTGAATGAACATCGAACATGCACTCTTTCATGTTGGCATTCTGTTCGTTACCTTACCCATAACCCCAACCCTAACAGTAAACAATCGCTGGCGGGAGTGAAAACAGGATATGCATGATGGAGCGGACAACAACGCTGCGGCACAGCTTATCTGGTATGTACTGTACGGTTTGATGGCGTTACACGCGTTACTTTGTGGCGACGATGATTTCCGAAGACCGCTTCTGCTGTATCGTCTCTTTTGGCGGGAGAACATCCAACGGGTATCTGCTCGATGGGACCATTCAGCCAAGGTCTCCAGCAGAGGATGGCGGTGTTTCAAACCCTCCCAGCGGGCGGGGAGAGCTCATTCCTGGGCCAGAGCCGGCCCGCAGCAGCGCGGTATACATAATTTGGTATATAAGTGACATGACCGGCCAAACTGTGAAAAAAAAGTGCGACTTATAGTCTGGAAAATACGGTAATTATTCTAAAGTTATGGTGGACAAAATGTAATTCCTGATCCTGTATTCTGGCAGGCTACAGGCCCAAGTTGCTCCTAACCCTGAGCACACCATCAACGGGACGATTCTCTCTTTTTACTGGCTTGCTTTATTGGGTGCAGTCGCGTAAAAAAAGCACCATTTCAAACGCAGCTTTGCTGTGAAAACTAAGTCTGCTGTGGCTTTGGGTTTTATTGTCGTCTTCAAAGCCTTAGAAAACCTTTTCTCGCGTTGGTTTGAAGCCAAACTTCCTTGGACAGCAGAGGTGGAATGGGACGAGAGGCCCAGTCGGTACTGAACCAATGCCTCAGCAAGGTGAGAAACATCTGCATCTCCACGGCGTCATGTTGAGGGTAGGAGGTCTGGACCCAAAATGCAAGAACCCAGAGCTACACAGGCAGGAGCGGTTGCAAAAATCAGAATCCTTCATGAGTTGCAAAAAATCCAAAAGGCTGAAGTCTGAGCCTTGCCTACAAAACACAGGGACGAAACTAAAGCTCAAACTTCTGAGCAGGAACCTGGAGCACAGGAGCGAAAACCAGAACAACGCTGACAAAGACAATGGACCAACAACACACCGAGACCAGACAGGGTTATATACACAGGGGATGGGTGATCAAGGGAACTGGGCACAGGTGAGACTAATGAACAGAGGAGGAGCAGAAACAAGCAGGGGAGAACCAATGAGAACCATTACAGACCAATCTCTGTGCTTCCCCAGTTTCCTAAAGTGCTTGAAAAGTGGTTCATTCAGAAACTAGACAACTTTATGGATTTCGATCAAATAAATCTACATCCTTGGCATTACTAGAATTAAATGAAGAAATTACAGCAGCAATAGAAAAGAAGCAATACACAGCAGGTCTGTTTATTGATTTAAGAAAAGCATTTGATACCATAGACCAGGGGTGGGCAATCTCACTCCACGAGGGCCGGTGTCGGTACAGTATCTGCTCGGGTGCAAGATCGGCTCGGGGTCCTTCGACTGCCGATGACGTCAAAGTACGGCAAACCCACTCGGACAAAATACATTACACATCTATACTGTTGGAAAGAATTTAGCAGTTTCGTTATTAAAATAATGTTTCTTAAGACGTAAGTTTGTGTTTATAATAGTATTTGTAAAATAAAACACTATATTTGATTCATGTTGAACTCCTCCTTGAGCACATCCCTTGAAGGATCATAGGTATTAGCAACACCTGTGAAATTGTATTTGCAGGAAAGAAGTGTGTCCCGTTTATTGAAGTATTTGTGTTGAGTTTTTGACGTCTTGTCCATGCGTAGTTCAGTTACGCTCATAGCTGCTAGCCAAAACTCTGGAGTTAAAAGTTTTCTGGCTTTACTAAAATACCTGTCTGTACTTATTTGATTGATGGTAGTTTTACTTTCTATTAGACTCCATATGTAATCATTTGGCACGTTTCTAATTCATAATTTGTAATAATGTAATCGGCATTATTAGCATTAGCATTCCTATGGGTTTTTCCATGTATATTAGCATTGCGCTAACCACTCGCTGCCAAATTGCAGCCTTTGCCATTAGAAAATCTCCTTTTATCACATCGCAATTTAATTGCACATGCAGTTAATCGTTCAGCACTAATATACTTGCAGCTCTATGCTAAAAGTGTATTTTCAAAGAGGTAATGATGGATTTCTTTGTAAAAGTTGTCCATCTTTCCAATAGAAAAAATTTGCCTGGACCAACGTCACGTGATAACGTTACGTGATTACGTAATTCCGTAAGGTTCATGTTCAGCCAATTAACTACTTAGACGTCATCGGCAGTCGACCGACCCGAGCCGATCTTGCACCCGAGCAGATCTTGTACCGACACCGGTGTCCCTGCAGGTTTTAGATGTGTCCTCGAACAAACACCGCTGATTTAAATAGCTAAATTAGCTCCTCAACATGTCCTGAAGTTCTCCAAAGGCCTGGTGACGAACTAATCATGTGATTCAGGTGTGTTGACCCAAGGTGAGATCTAAAACCTGCAGGGACACCGGCCCTCGTGGACAGAGATTGCCCACCCCTGCCATAGACCATAGTTTGTTACTTTCTAAGTTAAAGAATTATGGGATAAGAGGGATAGCTCATGATTGGTTAAGTAGTTATCTGACTAAAAGAAATCAATTTGTACAGTTAGAAGATGAAATTTCAGATTCTCAAATGATTACATATGGAGTCCCACAGGGTTCTGTGTTGGGATCTAAGCTCTTTCATTTGTATATTAATGATGTTTGTGATGTGTCCAAAATATTACAGTTCATTTTGTTTGCTGATGATACAAATATATTTCGTTCTGGGAATGACTTACAAAGTATTTTGGAAAATATGGATTGTGAGATGACTAAACTTAAGTGGTTTATGGACAATAAACTATTTATAAATTGGAATAAAACAAAATTCATGATTTTTGGTAACAGGAAGACAGATGATTCTGTTACATTTTCCATAGATGGTACTTCAGTTGAAAGAGTAAATGAAGTAAGATTTTTAGGGGTCATCTGGGATCATAAACTTCAATTGGAAACCCCATATAAAACAAAAACTGTGTTAAAGTATTGGACTTTTAAATAAATTAAAAAGTATTTTGGAGTCATCAACACTTCATATATTATATTATTCATTTATTGTTCCATACTTGACTTATTGTATAGAGGTTTGGGGCAACACATATAAAACAAACACTAATCCTTTGTTTTTATTACAGAAGAAAGCTATGAGAATTATATATAAAGTAGATGCTAGAGAACATACCAATAGACTTTTTATTGAATCAAAAATTATGAAATTCAGGGATTTGGTTCATTTGAAAACTTTACTAATTAGGTTCAGGGCAAAAATGAGGTTACTGCCAGTTAAGTTACAGAAGTTTTTTGTTTTGATTTCAAATGATGGAAAAAATAGAAAGAAGCCTGAGTTTAAAAGAGTTTTTGCACAAACAACATTAAAGCAAATGTGTATTTCAGTATATGGAGTAAAATTATGGAATAATCTGGATCATGACCTGAAAAAATGTTTAACTACCGATCAATTTAGAAAAAATCATAGAATCGTAAGATTGATAAGTAAATATTGAATGAGTATATCGATAAGTTTTATTGTGATTTTGTTTACAAAGATAAGGAAGTTCTATACTTGGTTTGTGCATAAAGCCATTCTGTAAATTAGGGATGCACCGATACCTCTCTTTTCCAAACCGATACGATACCGATACTTGGATCTGCGTACTCGCCGATTACCGATACCGATACTTCCACCACACAAAAAAAATGCAATGATTTGGAATACAGATTTTATTTTCTTCTCTGCTTTCAACAGGAAAGATAAAAAGTAAAATATATGAATAGAAATCATCACAAAACTAAAATATTAGGTGAACAGAAATGACAAGTTACAGTGAAGCCATTTTCAAGCAACTGCATTGGTATCGGTTCCTGGTATCGGTTAACTTATACCGATACCTAAACTGGTATTGGTATCGGCACCGATACCGATACCAGTATCGGTGCATCCCTACTGTAAATTATATTATATGAAGTAGGAAGGGGTAGGTCATATAAGACTTCTTCTTCCTCCCCCTTTTTTTCCACTTAGGAGACTGTTGATTGTATTTTGCATGAATGATGTATGAAACTGCTGAGTGAGAAAATAAATTAACAATTAAGAACCCAGATCTAAATCCTGTAAAACAAAAGCTACTAAACCTAAACGCTGTAGAACAAAGACACAGGAGATCTAAAAATAAGTTAACTAATGACCTCAATGGGGAAGGAAACAACACACTAAAGGAGATATGAACTAGAAAATCTGAACCTATAG